CTGCTAATTAGGCTCCTTTCAGAAAGGACTAAACAAAGCCTGACAAAAACACATTATAATCATATTATTTATAGCTACAGCTATAGCTAGAACATGATCATGAAATGTGTTTGGACTGTTTTGATTCAGTTAAATTTTATTTATTGGACAGATTTCAGATTGTTTACGTTAATAATACATCTTCTTCATGCTCCAGGGTTACCTGTGGAGTACCACAGGGATCAGTGCTAGGACCATTTGTCTTTATTATATATATTCTCCCAATCAGTAGACTTATTAGACAGCATGGGATTAATTTCCATTGTTATGCTGATGATACTCAGCTATATCTGTGAATCCTAATTAAACTAACCCATTACATAGACTCCAGACATGTTTTTAAGACATGAAAACCCAGTTGACTCCAAACCTTCTGCTTCTAAATTTAGACAAAACAGAATTTTTGTCTCAGAGACTCTGAAAAAGAGGCTGATAAATCAGTCACTTCATCTGGATGGGATTAAATTGATTTCAGATAATAATGTGAAAACCCTCTGTGTGTTATTTTAGATCAGTACTTGTCTAAACCATTGCACCAAGTAGAACTATCTTGTCCTGTACTGATGTTGAGACACTAGTCTATCATTTTTTTTTTTTACTTCAAGGCTGGACTATTGTAACTCTTTCCTATCAGAGAAGTCCATTAAAACTATATAAAAGTTTAGATAAATCAGTTGGTTTTTCTTGGATAGAAAATGTTTCACTAATCTGACTGTATAACAAGGGCGCAGATAGCGTGTACGTCAGGGGTGTTCTGACGTACACAGATTCGAATGACCCTCAATCCGTCCCCCCCACTTTTATTTAAATAAAAAAAAAACATACGGCGAAACTCACAGAAAATCAAAAAGCTTTTTCTAATTTACTGCTTTGCAACAACAACATAAAACAGTCAGATCATAGACGGGCAATCGTTTTGTTTAACTGCAGGCTGCCTGCGTCGTTTCTAATCTAAAAGTTATCCTGTCTCTGGCGTTTACGTCTCGAGCCTGGTTTCCATGGTTACTCAGACAGACAGTAGTGGCGGGACAGTTCCCAATTCCGGAGTCCGGACATCAACATGAGGCCAGCCAAACCGAAAAAACAGAAAACAATTGCATCCTTTTTTCGAAAAGCACCAACTGTAAGTAAACTGTTCATCATATCACTTTGCATTTTTTTGGTTGTCTGTTCGATGTCGCCGTGGAAAAAAGAGTAGAGATGGTCAGTGAGAATAGCGTGAAGAGAGGTGCCAATGTCATAAGGCGGGAGGCAGGGGGAATCGACTGGCATTTATTTATTTATAATTAAATCGACTGTTCCGACTTTTTCTGGAGTCGTTGGGGGTCTTTCAGAAATGTGTAGGCTACAGTAGGCTACTTGAATCCGTATTTATGCCAAGCCAAATGGTTTAGGTTGTTACAGGTTAAATCATGAGAAAAACGAACTTCAAAGCTAGACAAATTCCACTACACAGGGGCGGATTTAGGAAATTTGGGGCCCTAGGCAAAGACAGGCATGGGGCCTTCTGAATTGAGAAGACAACATATAGAACAGACCCATTATACAGATACAGAAATTTTAATAGAATAGAAATTTGAGGATGTCATGTATCTTCAAGTTTGTCTATATCACTGTAACTCGGAGGAAAGAACCTCTCTCTCATATATATATATATATATATATATATATATATATATATATATATATATATATATATATATATATATATATATATATATATATATATATATGTGTGTGTGTGTGTATATATAAATAAATAAAAGGTGCATGTCACAGGAAAGACTAGTGATGTTACAAATATGACAATTGCTTAAACTACAGAACAGTAAATTATTTAATCTATAATTAACATGGCCCTTAACATCCCCAGCTGTACACATTAACGCACATTAAAGCAATGTTAATACAAAGCTGTAAAGTAGAGTGAGACGTTGATAATAACTTCCTTATGTTTTTTGAATGTATAAATTTAATTATAAAGGACTAAAACACCTAAAACTTATGGGTGATTTTACAACATTTAAAAGCCTGAGATTTTACTGAAATTGGGGCTACTGGGGCTCACTGGCCTTAGATGTAATGAGCGAACTGGAAGTGCTGAATACATCGCTCCAAAAAAGCACCCAGACATTGGAGGGCATGGTCTCTGCAGTCTCAGTTGTCCAAGAGAGATTACGGGACAAAAGAAAGCCAGCCCACTTTGAGGCAGTCTTTAAGGAAGCAGTGGATATGGCTGAGAAGCTGTCTCTAGAGCCCATTGCTCTATCTCGAACACATAGGCCCCCAAAGAGATATTCTGGGCCAGCACCTGCACACAGGCCAGAATCTGCTGTGGAGTACCACAAAGTGGAGTTCTACAGAGTCCTTGACAAAGTAGACACACAACTTTCTTCATTTGAGGCCATTTATTGAAAAGCCATGTAAAGTACTTATTTACAAATTTGTTTTTGTATATATGTAGGCTTTGCTGTTCGTGTTTCTGTGTGTTTACAGCCTGCACTTAAAGTCAGTCCATGTTTAAATAAAACCTTTTTTTTTTCACACTTCATGTGGCATGTTTGGTGAGTACTTGGTACCAATACATGTTATTTTCTTGCAATAATGGGCAATTAAGATTGATGGGTTGTCATAGCTGAGTAATAGCCGGTAATAGGGCTCGGGATCCACGTTGCATTGTGGGACGTCGCAGCCATACTGACTGCTACGCAAACGTAAGCATAGCTCTGACACAACGTTGTTGTTGAAAGAAGAGACAGAAGTAGAGAGAAAAAAGATGAAAAAAAGATTTACCGGGACACATTAAATAGAGAAGCCAGGGACCGGTAAGGTGACAAAATCAGCATTATTAATCATTTGGATCCATATAAAGTTCCAAACAATGAGTGGAGCACCGATGAGTGAGCGCCTATACTTCAAAACAGTTCCGAAGCTACAAGTCCTTGGAGTCTCATATGCAGTTCATGAATGAATAGGTTCAGGAGCTGCACATCATAAAGCCAGCAAACAGTGGGAACACAGTAATCCGTACGAAGGTAAGCTGTGATCAGACGGGCTCTGGAACCTGCTAGTTTAGCAACTGCTAACCGCTAGTGCTAACAACCACTCACGCATGTAATGTACTTTTAGCTAGCTTCTATGTGTTTCAAAGATGTAGTTAGTAACGTTAACTGCCAACCCTCCGGGTTTCTCGCGTATTTGAGCATTTTCCCGCTGCCGTTTTTATTATTTTCCCGTAAAAGATCCCAACTTTGAAGGAAAGAAACAAAGTAGGCTATAAAATAAAACCGTGCATCTTTAACTTACCAGAATGAAAATGCAGGGAACACACTCTCAATGACATTGGAATACTGTGGAAAGTTATGTTCGGTCGTCTTACATCCGCGATCCAAGCTAGCCGACGACTCTTTATCTCTGACGCTTGGTCTCCATGGTTACGCCTCCAGTCAGGAAAGCGGTGGAAAGTTAACCCATTTTCTATGTTTCCATGGCGATCATGCGTTGAGCTGTTACAGCCCACAATACAGCAACGGTTTACCATGGTTGAAATCAAGTTAAGGGGAAATTAATCAAATTAAAACACGGCTGAGAGGGAGTACAGTACGCGGTAGTCATAGGCAGTAGTCTGAGCCGCGGTAAAAGACGCATTCAACATGGCAGCGATGCGAGGTGCTTACGTCACGACGACCAAGCCCTATAGTAACTGTCCCCCACAGTTTCAAAAACCTATCTGCGCCCCTGCTGTATAAGCTGATTGAATTGTCTCTGCAAAGTGACTAATGATGATGCATTGATAACTTGGCACTCCATAAATAAAGTGAACTGAATTGTTTTTTTTTAGGACAGGGAGTGGCTCCTGCATACAGAGTAGGACTCAAGACATGGGTTTATCAAGTGTAATACCACTTTTAGCATGATTTATAGCATTATAACATAGCATTATATATATATATAGTTAAAGGCTTAAGAAAGTTGTGTTTCAAAGATATTGGCCCACTATGCAAGCCAAGGCTAGTTATTTACCAACATGAACTAACATGCATAGATAGCCTAATCAAAGGTTACTGTAAAATACTACGTTTAAAATATGGGGTTTAAGCAATTTAGGGTTTCAGCCCTGTTACAGTTATCAGAGAGTTTATTTCAGATTTGTGAAGCATAAGGACAAAAGGATGCATTCTGGTTCTGGTTCTGGGTATACAGTAAAAAAAAAAACCTTTAATACCTGCAGAGTTTTATATAACTCTGTTTCAGATAACATCTGGTACCACTCCAAAGGAGTGTAAAACTTACTCTATAGCCAGTGTCAACTTTTCAGGGTTAATTTAATTAATTTTGGTGTAATTTCACCATACAGAGTAAAAGTTACACTGCATGGCTGTTAATTTTTTTCTGACTATTAACTCCAACATTAACTCCAACCAGATTTACCCTCAGTATATTTTGTAAATACTCTATTTAGAGTAAAATAGGTTGAATATGAATTTTTAAAACACAATTTATTACTGTGTTCAGCCAGAACACCTCAGAGGTTGAACCAATTCTTGCAACCTTTTTTATGCTTTATGTATGTATGGTAACTGACCAATTATTATCACTGTTTACTGTTTAGGTTTTATTAATTAATATTTTTAATTAATTATCTTTATTCCTGAAGTGAAAATCAGATAAGCAAAACAAACAAAAGTGTGATGTAATTTAACATGACTGCAATAACCAAATAAAAGAAGTCAAGGCTTTTTAATTACTTCTGCTCCTCTGTTCACCCTATTAAATCATTTATGGCTGATACTACAACAGTGACAAATTAAGCAAATTTGCCCAGTTGGATGGCTGATTACAAATAATTCAGTGCCAATAAACGATTTACACCAGCAGCAATTCTAAGCATGGGTGTACTGGATAGCCAGATTGGAATCATGTTATACTAATTGCTGTTGAGGTAAGGTTGGAGTAGTGACCTTGCTGGCTCCTGGGAGAAGATGTAGCTTGACGTATGGATCAGCCAGCCCATTCGAGTCCATTGCTTTCAAACCCTGTGGACACACGCACAAAAAGATACATGCGGATGTCAGATCAAAGGTGACATCAATGTGTCCCTAAAACCTCTTCACACAACTGACAGGGTCAGAATAAGACAGCAAATACGGCAGACCATACAGCATGCACTTATTTCTCCGTTTGCCTCCAAGCTGTTTCTTTCTCCGCTTGTGTTTTCCACTCGCCCCGAAGGAACTCCCCTGTCAAGATTTACATAATTAACACCATGTGACAGTATGAAGCATGTAGCTTGTGGACGGCTTGTGTCCTTGTGTCTGTGCATGAGCAACCTAGCCGCATTACCCAACCTTCCCCTGTTGTGTCGAGCAGACGAGCCGACACCATGTGTGGCGAAAAACGTTTCTCCATAAAGGTTGGGAGACAACGGCATGGCATCTCGCTCAAATGCAAAAGAGCTGTTTTTCAATGGGCTTTCAAGGATGATTACGCACACGGGCGCATGATCTGTTTGTATAAAGAGCATATTGAACACTGTGTGTACCTTTGCCTTGTGAATAGTGCAGTGAAGGCAGTTGTTCTCTTGATCAAAGAGCAGGCTGAACTCCAGTGTTCCCAGGTAGGCTGAAAAACACAACACAAACACGGCAATTACTGTCAGTCAGCAGCGCAGACACATTCAGTCATACAAACTGGAAAAGCTCTGAGTCATGTTTGCAGCAGATGGTTTCTTACAACATAACACTGCCCTATATGAATTGATCTGTCTTCTTTCATCACTGTTTGGGAACTAGAAGTAGAGTCCCCCCACTGCAACCCTGTGTAATAAATCATTGTCACATAAAGTGGGTGTGACAAAGAGTAGAGGAAAAATGCCTCACTCCACTAAAACTCCATATTTACTTCACAAAGAAAAATGTACCAACTTAAATTGAGCAAAACAGGATTACATTCCATTTACCGCTGCAAAAATATTTCTTGCTTTTTGTTCTGGATTAAACAATTTTGAACAGTGAGCATGACTTTCTTTAGCAATTAAGTTTTCTTCCCCTCCTCATAAGTTGTTGTCCCCAGAAGGTCTGAGTGGATCAATAATAAATGAGCTATTGATGACTCCATTATTAGCTCTTGATTACTTTATAATATTAGGATGAAATCTAATTATTTAGATGCTAAATAAATTATGATACTGAAGAATTCAAAGGAATGGTTTTTATTAATCAAAACTCCTTTGAAAAGCTAAAAAATAATAAATTTGTAAGACTGCTTTTCATAGATAAATATAAACATTTTTAGGAGCAAGTTCCCTACAACTCACTGTCATCATCATCAGAGTCGAACACCTCCTCCTTGTCTCCGTCGTTTTCCCCTTTTCTCTCCCCATCCTTGAACCCTACACCCGTCTCTCCATTGAACGTCTCCTCCTTCAGGATCTTCTTCTCCCTGGGGGGCGGCGGAGTGCAGGGGTAGTCGTGAAAACGGGGAAAGAAGTCAGAGATCTGTGGGATGGGGAGGATGGGTCCTGGGCACACATTGATGGCAAAGTGCTCCTGCATAGAGATCTTGACAGGTGAGGGCGGGGGAGGAGCCACTGAGTGGGGCGTAGAAGAGGGGGAGGTGGCAGAAGAGGATGGGCTTGGCGTGGAGGCGGGGGGGATAGCCAGGTGGGAGGTGGAGGGTGGCGGCGGGGGCTTTGAGAGACTCATCTGGACTGTCAAGCGGGACTAGAAATGGAAATCAGGAAGAGAGGAAATGAGTGACACGGAAAAGACAAAGAGCGACACAGCCCCATCAAAATGTTTCTGAGTTCACAGCTTTGTCTGTTTTTAGAGCTGCTGCAGCTCATCTGCAAAGCAATATGTTGAACTTCACACACATATCAAGCATACTGAAGAGAGAAAAAGAAAAAAAAACTCTAACTGTGCATTTTTTATTCTCAGATTCAATTTCAAAAGCCAAAATAGAATTTACCAGAACCTTTGGCACTTCAAGTGTGACTCACACATGGTGTCAGCACACCAAGTATGCCCACTGAGTGAATATTCAAATATGCTTCTGTGAAGTACGAACGAATGATGTCACATGTGCCTCTCCACTTCAGTCTAATCCCTCTCCCTTCACTCTCTTTTACTCATCTCCTCCTCATCTGCAAAGAAATCCACCCTAAGCAATATTTACATAATGCAATTTGAAAGCAGTCTTTTACACATTTGTCATTTAATGGAACACAAGAAGAGTTGCCGGGACTGTTTTTTTTTCATTCAACCAAATGCTGTCTTCTCAGATTTTTCTCACAATGATTCAACAGCCACTTCATGAGGCAGCAGAGTCATTTACTGTAAGAGAGAAGACGTCAACACCAGGAGGTTAGGTGGGCGGTCTGTCGTTCTTTCAATGTGTTGCATATGTCCATCACATCACTCCTAATTAGAAGCAACTGGTGACCAAGATCCCTAATGGACATTTACTTTTTATTTCTTAAGGTTTTTTTCAATGTCTGGAGCTAAAATAAACCGACCTCTCTAAAGAAATATTATCAATCTTGTTTAAAGAAAGATAGAATTCAAATTCTGAGAGACTAAAGAATTTTTTTCATACTGGAACCTTTGCAAAGTTTCACAAAAACATTTTTTCCTTGTCTCTGCTTCCTGTTGTTCCTGTTTTCAAAACAAATGCACTAGTAATGGTGGGTAAAATATGTTTGAAGCAACAACATTTATAGATTTCACCTATAGCATACAGATGATCTGTTTAACAGTTTTTCTCCTTAAGATGTGGCAAGTTAAGGAACTATCAGTAATTTTTTTCCACTGACAACTGTGTGCTTGCTCTTCCTCCTTAAACCCCCAATCTGCCTTGGTAGATTACCATTAATCTTGGATCTATTGGAGTTTTTTTTCAATCTGAAAATTTGCCATTCCTTTCAACTGTTACCACATGCTTGTTAAGTATCAGAAAGTGCACCATATATATTTTGCAGCCTTTTTTCCCTATACCCGAATGCATCACTGCAGTGCCAATGACTGTATAAATGTGGCTTCCTTAGACAGATAAATGTCTTTACCTATAGATAATAAACTAAATTTGTCAGCAATGTGTTTGACTTCAATGAAATTTGATTCTGTTCAACAGATTTTAATTTTTTTTACAAATTGGATCTATTTATTTTGCCTCTAGGTTTTATTTATCATAAACCGAAGCAATGTAAATAAACATTATTGTGGTGAACTACATTGGTCGACAGCGCAGGTATCCTTTAATTCACTTTTTGTGAAACCTATTCAATTTCTCTAGACTTGCTTCTGGACATAGTAGACATTTTTCACTGCAGTCACGCAATCACATTTTATGAGTAGATTTAAACCTTTGGCTGCCTACACGGGTGCAGCTTTTTCTTTTTTGTGAAACAGCTCCACAAAAACAAAAGATACTACAAGAGTACAACATGGCAAAGGGATAAAAATTCATGTCCAAAGAGATTTTAATAAACATTTTTTTTAAATCTTCACTTTGAGATAACTTTTCAAATGCAAACTTTTTTTTTTCTTTTTACCAAAAAATCTATTTGTAGGAGGTGCAAAGACAGCAAAATATATTTGTGGTAATGCATGCCTCAGATATTTTCATGTGGGTGTCTTTTCACCTTTTAAACACATTTTAATCACACTATTTAGATGGAAGCTAATGTTTTTGTGTTTTTTTCAGTTAAACTTTGGTCAGTGGATTTATCTGGTGGAACTGTAACTTGGCAGTGAAAGCTTGCAGGGTTTTGAAAAAAGCTTCATTTTCTCTGGCTGAAGAAGAGGTAAAGATGAACATACAGTATGTGTGTTGGTTTTTTAACTTTGGGCTTTTTTGAGTTAAAAACCCAAAACCCCAATTTTAAAAGGGGTTTTTCCCCAAAAATCCCCCCCATAAAATTTTTACCTGGATGGAATTTTTTTTTTCAGTCCCAAAAAAGTTGGGTGGGGGTTTATATCAAAAATTTTCAGGTTTCCAAAAAAATTTATATATTAACAGATTTTTTTTTTCTCATCTCAAAATTTCTTGTAGTAAAACAAATTTAGCAAAACCCTTTTTTTATTTATCATTAAATTAATTTTTTTAATTATGTCTGTTGGGGATAAAAGAGTTATCAATGGTTTTAGCAAAGGTTTTAAAAAATTTTAAAAAAAAAAAAAAACAAACAGAAAAAGAACTGAAGCAAAAAAACTATATTTCTTCCCTTCATGCTGGGGTTTTCCCATTTTAATCTTCCCCCATGTTTTCTCGAGATCATCTTTTGATTCACAGCCCCTGCCCCTTCTTTAAGTGAAAACTCTGCCACATCCCCCCCCTATTGGGCCAAAGGTTTAGCAAGGACTCCCATAAAAACATGTGTAAAACTCAGCAAAGATAGGGACCCCCCAAGTGTCGCTCACATCTTTTAACAATCATTCATTTACTGTTTTTCATAACCCAAAAGCAGGACCCAACTTCTTGGGAAGTATCTACCCTTCCCTGCTGCTTTCAAACTTTTTTCAGATCCATCCCTTTTTTTATTTAGAGCATGCCAAAAAACATGTGAAAGGCCATCCCAAGCATGGCACGCCCCCACCCACCCAGGGATCAGCCCCTTACCTACCCCGGGGACAGTCTTTCCCCTTTTGCCAGTGCTCCATTTTGCCTGCTTTTCACAACCTTTGTTTTCCCCCACAAAACCTTTTTGGGGCAGCCTTTAGTTTAAACCCTAAACCCCTTCCCCTACCCCCTCCCCTCTTTTTCCCCCCCCCTTTTTACGTTTAAACCCTTCTTCTCCTTTCCCCCTCCCTCCCCCCCTTTTCCCTTCCCCCGTGGTTTTTTTGGGCGTTTTTGGTTTTAAAAACCTCTTTAAGAGGTTTTTTTAAAACTGGGATAAGGCACCCGAAATCATTTTTTTTTAACAGTGATGCATTTTGGGATCCATTAGGGGAAAAAAAAAGGGTTTGGGAAAGTGGAAAGGGGGGTGGAGGAATGGGCATTAGATTGGGGGGGGGTTTTTTGTGTGAAAGATGTGTGGCAGGTATGAGGAGCAAAGAAGAGACAAACCATCAATGTGTAGACAAAACAACGAGCGACAGAAGCCTTAGAAAAAAACCCAGGACAGATGTGTGCCATGTAATCGGGAGAGGAGTGGATGAGAAAACACGGAGCACACTCAAAACGAAATATAGCTCTAGGGGTAAAATATATATATTTTACAAAAAACACCAAGTGAAGGACAGAAAGGGGAAATTAGATTCGTCATGTTTACTGAGCAGAAGAAAAAAAAAAACCCGCAACTATTAAATCCAAAAAAACCAGCCTTTTTGAAAGTTTGGGTGTTAATACGGGCCCCATCAAAATGGTATTTTTAAAATGTAGCCCGCCCTTTTTAGTTTTGTGATTTCCACCCGTCACCCCCTAATTATTTGAATCAGACCACTGGGAATCATTACAGCTTTTTAGACCCTGTTTTTAAACTTTAAAAAAAGGATGCTTCGGGGAGGTTATTTCAATAAGGAATGTGGTTTTAATTTCACTTTCAAGAAAAGTGAATTTTTTGTCCCCGTTTAAAAAACCCCCTAAACTCCCCCAGATCTGCCGTTTTTTCTTTTAGTTTTTTTTACAATTTGGGAACCCGTGCTTTTCCGCGTTTGTCGTTTCCCCCAAATTTTCGGAAAGGGCTCTTTTTACCCCTATTTTGGGGGAAACCCATCAGCTGTACTAATGGCCCAAAAATTTTCCCAAAAGAAATGCAGTGGCCGGCTGGCTTTAAAAACCCCTTTTCATAGGCTAAAAACCACTACCAAAAAACCCCCAAAAAATGAAATGGTCTCGTGATTGGCAGCAAAACCACCCCCGGGCCACGCCGGGGGTTTAATTTCTTAAATGATATTGGAAGGGGGCCGCTTCCTTTTAAACAAGTAAAGTCGCTGTGATTGGTTTGGCATATATTTATATATTTACATATATATTTATTCATTTTAAAAAATTTATTTTATTTCCCTTATATAATTTTTAATAATTTATATTTCATATATTTATTTATTCTTTATTTATTTTTTAAAATCGTTTTATTTATTTATCCTACACTTCTACACAAATTTTTATTTCTACCATCAAGGCATGAAATAAAATTTTTTACAGGAAATGAAGTTTTGCCCGGGGAAACTGTTTATGCAAAGAAAAAAGCTTTATTAAAAAAACCCAAAACTATTACAACGCGTATCCAAACACATTGCGTATCTAAAAATTAAAAACCCCCCGAACGGTCCGTTTTTTCTTCCTCGGGAAATTGGGGGGGGAAAAGGGAGCATTCCCTCCGAGGCAGGTCCCATGTGCAGAAAAGCCTACTGTCGGGCCCTGACTTCGGCATCCCCTTCTAACCGGACCCGGGGAGCTTTAAACCCCCGAGTTCAGGGATTTCCCGGCCCTACGAAATTTGGCGGGGGGACCGACAAACCATCCAGAGACACCGGGCCCACGACGCCATTTTTCTTCGTTCCCCGGGCATGAGGTCGACGGTGGGGCTTACAAGTTTCCCCTTCCTCAACTGAAATAGGCAAAACTTCCCGCCCTTTGCCTTTACCCGCTAAAAAAAACCCAAAAGAATTTTAGCGCAAAAGCATATGGACACAAAAAACATCTATCAATTTTTCCCCTGAAAAATATCACCAAAAAAAAAGTCTTACTCTCTTTTTTCTGGCCCGCTCCGAGCAGAT